GTCGCCAAAGTGAAAAATTTAGGCGCATTGGTGCCTGTATTAGGTGCAATTTCATGCCCTGAGTATGGAGATTGTGCAGTCTGATGTTAGGGTGTTTAAGTTAATGGAATAGGAAGCAAATAGCATAGCTAATCAGATTGCAGAATTTGGATAGAACACAAGTAGATTTATAATAATAGTTACAGTTGGTTATGATGAGGATAATTAGAGTTTTCCATGCAGAGAGAAATTAGAAAGTAGATAACTAGTAAAATTTAATTTGCTAAGTTATCATAATTATATTCTTCAATTCAGAGAGAGTTATAGCCATGTCATTCCCTTCGTCTGGAAAACACAAGTTATACCGTAATCCAGTGTCAGTAAGTGAACCACTTATTTTATCATAAAGCTCTTTCACTCCAAGTGGTTGCTAAGACATACTTTCTACTACAGTAATTATACAATATCATGTGCACAAGTGATCAAAATATAGGAAAATGTGAATTAGAGGATTATCATATGATCCAGTACTAAATTCTCATATCTAAAAATTGTGCAATGTATGCTATAAAGTATTGAGAATCACTAATTAAAAGAGACCTTGGAAGTGAAATGGTTAATGCTAGTGATCAGACTGCAAATATATGAAAATCATATAATTATGTGAACTGCATATAAAGAAGTGAATGTGTTAGTGTTCTTCACAGTAATTGCTAATTAAAAGCAGTAGTGAAAACAAGGCCGGAAAAAAATTAAGGCCAATACAGGATCTGAACCCATGACCTCTCCTTTCTGATCAGATTTTCTTTGTTAATCTATAGAGCTTGTACATGTCATATAAAAAAGAAGTGCTTTCCTTTTTTCCAAGATCTCTTTATGCACTGGCAGTATAGATTAGTTGGTGTGTTTTTATAGTGCTCAATTCAGTTTAACTTACTTCTTTGTGAACACTGTTATATGATGTTTTATTGTTTAGGGAAGTAAGCATGTTGCCTTTTTGTTCACAGGAAGTTGTGCGATTCTTGGATACAAAACATCCTGACCACTACAAAGTCTACAATTTATGTAGTAAGTGAGATTAATATAAAGGCTGCTTAATTCATTCATTTTATACATACCTGAGTGAATTTCCTCCCAGCACTGGTAACTTTAGTTTTAATTTGCATGTATCTAAAATGGTGCAACCTGAAAGTTCACCTGTAAGGTGAGCCTTCAAGGTGCACAAAATAACAAATTTTTTGAAAGGTGAAGACATATTTGTACCACGTCTATGCTGTATTTAAGTTGCAATGATAGTTAGATGTTAGTTATTGATATTGTGACATTTGATAACTTAAGTACCAGTTAAGGCATCTAATTGCATATTGTCACTGATTGGGCTTCATCTTAACCTGTTTGCTCCCAAAATCCAACTATCAATATTCTCTACATTTATGGTAATTTAAGCATTGAGAATGTGGTTGCGTGTTTAGTAAACAAACCCCTTCATGGCCAAGGAGGGAAGCTTCAAGGCAAATGTGAAATTTTGAGGACATAACCATCTCATAAATTCTTGTATCAAGTGACAGCACATTTTGTTAACTTTTTTGTACTTCCCCAAGTAGTGTTGAGATCAGCTTTTTACTGTCACTATTAGTGGAATCTACAAAAGGAGTTTGTTTTTCTTCCATCTAAAGTAACAAAGGTGAAGAAAGTGAAACTCTTGACCTGGGTCTTTTCTGCTGGCCTTGGTTTCTTTTTAAGGGAAATAATCAGAGGACAAATTGATTCAAAGGAGGGCTATAGAAAATTAATGTGTGGGTTATATTAAACCATATCTCTTTTGTCTAAAAATGTAGACACTGTAAATGGAATTTACATTTGATCACTACTGGAAGTGAAACAATATGTTGCAATTAATTGGCAACACTTTTTTTTCTTTTAGACTGTTGTCATTTTAATAGAAAAGTTGTTTTCTCTCTAAATTTAGATTTTAAAATTAATTGAAAGAAGTTCCAATAATATTTTTTTTATAGGTGAGAGAAGCTATGATCCATCTGTGTTCCATAACAGAGTGGAGCGAGTTCTCATTGATGATCACAATGTACCTAGGCTTAGGTTAGTGTGATGTTTGTGAGTAGTAATGAATCCCCCGAAAAGTAATTCTCCTTGCCTAGATACTAAAGGGAAATGATAAAGAATTAGAAAGTGCATTGTTACTGTTTGAACTAAAAGTCAAATAAAATTATGCTGCATGTTCAGAGGACTGTATTCAAGCCATAAAAATGTGATCAGAGAACTGAGGTTTTAAACCAGACTAATGGCACGTAACACTTAACTAGTCCAGAAGGAGTTTAAAAATGTTTTGATGTAGGTGACACACTCTGCAAAAGTAGTTGACTATGAAAAGTTCATTAAGGGCTTAAAGGTAATTATTTTGACCGGAGTAACCAGCAACATGTTATCAAGAAGCCAGAGGAACTCAAGCAGTCACTGGCTTGCTTTGAAAAGGGAATTAGTCTTAGACTTCCAAGTTAGTCACTTGTAATTCTGAGTAACGCAATACGGCCTTATTAATGAGGCAGCTGTATGCATAAGTCAAGGTTTTTACATTTCTAGAATTTTTCTTTAAAATACACTTTGTTGGGTCTTAGTATATAATTTATATTAAGTTTTACTGGTAATGGAAATAAATTTTTGGCCATATGTTGGTGACTTAGGTAGCCAGTGAAACACTGGAGAGAAATTGTGTGCTAGTTTCTGCACTTCTCACTTATAACCCCATTGGTGATTGCGAGGTTCCATTACTAATACCTTTTTCATGTTTTGGAACTTTCAGAGAGTTCTTAGTTATGGTCAAATTAGTGACTTTGTGGTATGGTGCCAAATGACAACCATGACAGAATAATTTCAACTTTTTGGTGTAAATATCCTTGAGATCTTACCTGTGGATGTGGTTGTTGTATTCTTTGTTTCAGTCAGTTGTTATATTTTACGCACAATGTGAGAGAATGGCTTGACAGAGATCCTAAAAATGTTATTGCTGTTCATTGTAAAGGAGGAAAAGGTGAAAGCAACTTATAATTGCAGCACAGTTTTAATGCCAAGTAGCATGTATTTTTTTCACATCTGATTGATGAATGCAGGAAGAAGTGATTTTGAAATTGTTTCATTTGACTGACATGTTACCATTTCCTATTGCCTGAGATCAAAACTGTCATCTGTGGGCTAAAACAAATTGACTGTATTAACAGTGTGGTCATACCACCAGGGCAGGATCAAATTACTTATTACCCCATTGCAAGTTGCCTAAGCAAATGTTAGCATCAAGATCTATTTCATTTATCATGTTTATAATGAAATCAAGCAGGAGTGTTGCTTCTCTCTTATTAAATTAGCTTTTCAATTAGTAAATGACAAAAATCAATAGAATTGACATATCACAGGTGTATTGAATTTATTAATTCAGTGCTTGCAGCAGTATTAACAAAGTGAAATTATCATCCAAGGATTCTAATGTTTGGGGTTTTAAAATGTGGCTGTTGGCTTTGTTAACAAGGCGTTTTTATAAGAAAATGTATGGTGGTTTTCCCATGTCATGAAAAGGTGGCTGTAAGAACGAGGTGACTGTAGTACTGGGGTGGCCATAAGGTAGGGTTTCGCCATAGTCAGAGACCCACTTTGAATTTTAATCAACATCATCTTAAAAGGAAAATTAGTGAAAAATACAGCATTTCTTCGCTTTTTTTATGGAATTATTGTACTCCTGTACCATCATGGGGCAAAAATTGGATCAGAGTAGTTACTGGTAACTGAGTCTGAAATCCAATTTCCCAAAAATGTGTCAAATTGTTTTGCAACACAGTAAATGTAACCTTTTATCCTTGAGTTCTCACTGCTTATTAACCTGTTTGTGTCATGTAACTGTAACTCAGGGTGCCCACAATCTACAATATTTCAATGTTGTTACAGGTATTTCACAGTTTTTCCCTTTAGTTTTATTCTTATTATTATAGTTCTTATTGTATGCAATTGTTTTTTTTTTAGGTAGAACAGGGACTGCAATATGTGCTTGGCTTATTGCCAGTGGTCAGTTTGAGCAGGCTAAGGTAATGTTCCTTCATTACTGGGCCTCTCCCCCAACAAAGAAAATAAATAAACAAATTAAAGAAATTAGTCATTATTGAGTAATCTTGATGTTCTGCTTGGTTTTCAATGCATGACTATGGGTTATTTATGGTTCTTTTTAGCATAGCCTGGAATATTTTGGGCACAGGAGAACTGATTATTCAGTTGGAAATCAATTTCAAGGAGTGCAGACACCCAGTCAGGTTGGTGTGCATTGTGTATGAATTACAAAGTAAATGTAAGGTGAAAAACCATGCCATGAAAAGGCTCCATTTCATTTAATCATCGATGCCAAGAATTTATTTTGGTACTAAAAAGTTTCTGTCAAGAATTCCTTTGGATACATTTTTCCCCTAATATTGTGTCATTTCAGAGTCGTTTTGTAGGTTACCTGGAAAAAGTGTTTACCAAGTTAAATGGTCGACTTCCTGCCTCTGTGTCATATCGTATTAAAAACATCAAGATTGATGCAATATCTGGTAGGGGAAATGTCTATTCTTGTAACAATATCTTAATGGAAAATTTCAGTGATTACCATTCAATTTGGTACAATAGAAAATTCAGTCAACAAATCAATCATTTACTCTCCCATACACTGGATGTGTGATCTCTTTGAGTTTTTGAAGGGCTCTTTAAATTATGTTTTCAAACTGGTTTGATTCTGTAGAGCAACAGTGTTTTACCATTTCATTAATTTCTACAGTAACACTTTCACTTCCAGATCTCTTTAATAATTCTGTATCGGCAGCCATACAATTCATATCATGTTAGTTCAGAGAATTTGGTATTGGATCAACTTATTATCCCCAATTGTTATTTTCTTTATTTCCATCACTTCTCTGTTTGATATTGTTTTGGTATTGTTAGGAGAAATTCTGTCCTGGTCTTTTTGGAAGTTAAGTGCTTAATGAAGATTATGAAGCTTACAAATTGGTATCCTAATATAAAAGACCATGGCACAAACCTTTGCCTTAGTGATTCTTGTTGTTGTGTGAAAAATGTAATTGATTGTTGTATGAAATTATTGTATGAAAACAAAATCTATGAATAGGTAAATATTAATGATAACAATTTTTTTTCTGTTTTTGTTTTTGTTCAGGTATTGGAGATGGAAATGGAAAAGATCTTTCGTTTGAGATAATTATCAATGGTAGCACTGTTACGACACTACATCTATCAAATTCACGTCAAGGACAGGTGAGAGAGTGCATTAGAATTCTGCACCATTTTCATAGGTGTTTTTCTTTGTTAGTTTGAAACCTCTCTTCAAGACCAAGGCCCTTTTTCCAAACATTTTAGGAGAAAGTTGATGAGCATCTTGAAAACTGAATTAGAGGGGCAGCAGGGGGAAGGGACCTTTTTTTGTTTCTGGTGATGGTCAAGATGTTTCATTTGAGTGACACTTTTCCTGTTTTATTACATGACAGCACATTACATCAAACCAATCTGAAAATTTTTATTTATTACTTTCTAAGCAAACCAACTCAAATAAATTACTTATTTCTGTAGTTATCTACATGCAAATGATATGGGCTTGACATAGTATTCACTCTCACTTCTAAACATTCTCACAAGCACACTATATGCTACAATTAATCAGCTTGCTAAAGCAAACTTTTTTTTTCAATCAATCAACTTAAGTTTAAAGGAACTCAAAAATAAACTGTCTAGTAGTTAATAGGTTGTTAGCCTCTAAGTATGAGTTATAGTTTTTAAAAAACAACAACAGTGAAAAAGCAAAGGTAGAGACACTTTTTCCTGAGTCTTTTGTTGTTTCCAATTGTTTCTTTTTTTTCACATTTTTCTTTGCTAGCTATTAAAATTTGATATATATTTTTTAATCCCTCTGATAGATACAGCACCTCAGAGATCTTGACAAATTAGTTATTATTCTCTATGAGGCAGAATCCCCTACTCTTACAGGAGACATCAAAATAAAGTTTTACTCATCTAATTCAGTAAGTATGTCATCGTTATATTAATTTTATAATGGAGCTCCAGGCTGCGACTGTTCCAGAATCCACATTAACTAAAGACAAAATTGGCATGGAAACACATCAATTTTATGACCTGTGCCCAGGGATCATGTAACATTTTTATCACAAAGAGTTTGTTTTGTGGGTTGCTCCAAATGAAGAAGATTATATAATGCAGGGTTAAATAAATCTTATTAATGCTATTAAAAGTTACTGATTAAAACCAAAAAAGACCTTGGCAAAATAAAATTCAAGACTGTATGCCAATAAGTTTTCAAATTGTGTCAAATTTTCCTCTGTCAGAATGTTCCAAGAGGGTATGACCAGTGTGCTTTCTTCTTTTGGTTTCACACAAGTTTTATAGAGAACTCCAGGTAAGGTGGTTCAGAAGTCGAGAGCTTTGAGAGCCCGTACAGAGATGATGTTTATCAGGTCTAAATTTGGGCTCAATAAAAATTTAAATTTGCACTGCCTATCTTTTCTGAAAACAAAAAAAGACTTCTGACTTAAGGTTAGTTTAAAAACGTTCTGATGGGGACTGTCTTTTTGACAAATCTTGCTACCGTGGCAGGAAAGTACGAACAATATGACATTTTGTCTGCCATATTGGATTTCGAGACCCACAACCATTTACCTTTAAAAAAGCTCTGGCTACTTAAAACCTTAAAGGAAACCCTGTAGATCTTTAACTGTACTAGTTTTCTAGATGGATCAGTGCAATTATTATTGATGGGTAATCACATGATTTCAAGTGCAATTTGGTGTTAATAAGCACAAGTAAATCTTTCAAAGACAACAAAATTACATGAGCCAATAGGGAAAGTTCTATTCATAGTCTTTGAAAATTTACAAGAGCTTATGTACACCAACTTGCGTGAGAAATCATGTTCTTACTTATCAGTAATTTAGCTGAAAAAAGTATTACAGAAAGTCAAGCTAGTTCAAATTTTGACAGTGCGTGCATGCTATTTATAATTTGTACTGTCTCATGTTGCAACTTTGCTTTAGTTTTATATGAAAAAGGCACTTGTTTTCAGTCAATCAAATGTACATAATTTTTTCATTTATATTATTATTAATAATAATAGGAATTAAAACTGGAATTATTTTTCCCAGTCCTCTCAAATCCTACTAATTCTTTTTGGTAGATTATGAATACAAGGTTTCCATCCAGACTTGTTTCCGTCCTGAGATGTCCACACTAATTTCAAAGCTCTCAAACTTGAAGCTGAAGTATCATTCAGGCAAATTATTGTCCAAAAAAAGTAGTTTTATACCTTGCCTGTCAATGGTGAACTTTGAGATCAAACATATTTTGGTTATAAAGGTGTGTCTTTTTTCTTTCAGACTGTTTCTACGTCGTGGAGAGTTGGATAATCCCCACAAACCCAAAACTTGGAAAACATACAAAGAGAATTTTGCTGTGGATATTACATTTACAAAACTTTGATAACAACAAACCAAGACAACTTGAGTGGGTCAACAATTTGCCCCAAGGGGAAGGAAATATTGTCAATTATTGGAAGGAAATGAATCAGTTGATTTATATATAACAAGATTTTCTAAACATAAGATAAATCATGATGTCAGAAAATTTTTCTGCATTTTTTTCTGTTGTGTCACATCCTTTTTTTTGGGAACATCACTATGTCAGGTCCACAGCCGCAATTTTTTTTTTTGTTAGTTGGTGGATTACTTGATTAATCCAAGCAATATTATACTCAAAGTAAGATAAAGTTACTGCATGACCTTGACTTTATTCAGCCCACATCAGGCTCTCTGCCATGGAGCAGGTCAAAAGAAAAAAAAATGGGGAAGGTAAAAGTAGAATGTGTAAAAACTTGAAATTAACCGCTCAAAGAGTATCCCAGGAGATTTTCGACTAGAATGAGGTTTATTTCACTTGCCCTTTCACTAACACTTTTCACTGACTGACTGAGGACTTGGAACCTTCTGTTACACTGAAGAACCAACATCTCAAAAGCCTATCCTGGTGGGAAATTTTTATATGACAAAATTACTCTTGCAATGGGTGTAATTAACTTCTATTTTTATATATAGAGTGAAAACAATTAAAAAGGATTTATGAACAGATAATGTGAAAGTTTAGATGCATTGTGAATTAATCACTTATTTAAATTATATATTGTCATAATATCTATAAATTTTAGTGAATAATTAGGGTCAATCTAATTTTTATTAAAGGGTAATTATTTTTTCCATCCTAAAGTTCTTTTTTCTACTATATCCAGGGAGAGTGCAGTTTTGTTTTAAGGTTACATTTGAAATTAGATTTTGTTTCTGTGGTAATTTGTAGCTCTTTAAATAAAAAAATGTTCTTTATTAAGAAATAATTGGTCCCCATTTGTTGCCAAAAATTTCAAGTGTTGATATATGTGATTGGAGTGTTTCTTTTATTGCTATTTTAAAACAGAATTTGGTTGCATTTACCCTGTGGTCTCATAACACATTTTCTCAACACATGAACTAATAAGGATAAGCAAGTATACTTGTTTAGGTTCTGTTAGTTCAATAAAATATTTAGGCCCTGTCATTGGTATGCAAATTTTCCTTACCATTCGCTTTACATTTTGTATGGTACTGACAAGGAGAATTTGTTTAACAATCAAGAGCTTCTTTTGTTGGTAACATTTCCTTCACTCTCATGACCTTAATGTTTGATTCAATTTAAGAGAAATTAGGTGCTAGTCACTCCTAGAGGTTTAAAGCAGCTGTGGTTAATATTGTTATTTAAATAGAGAAGACTTGTTTAATTTACAGTGAGGCAGCTTTTGTGCTCAGTAGTATTTTGTTCACACATTAACAATTAGCTTCTATGTCTTCTTTCTCCTTGTAACAATCAGATATGATTCCTGTATCATTTCCTGGGCAGAATTTTGTACTATTATTGGCTAAGGAATGAAAGAAGATTTACTTGTACAACTTGCACTATGCCCAATACCAAGTCAACTCTTTTTCTTTCAAATATATTGTAGATGAAATATTCTCGATTACCATATTTTTTTAAGGTCTTAAATGTAGTTATGGATAGGAGTACTCAGTGGCATCTCTGATATAGTTGTTAGGCTGAGTATTAATTTTCTAGCAATAATTCTTTTAAATCAATACTTTGAAACAATAAAGATGATCATTTCATCAAACAGAGTTTGTTGGGAATGACACTAATTCACACTCAGTTCCATCTTTAATTGATACTTTTAGAGGTACAGGTACATTTCTTGCCTTCTGTTCTTCACTGAGGCACACTTATTCAAATGAAATAAAGGGTTTTTTTTTAATCAAAAGAGGGAAATGATATTTTGAAGAGAAAGACAATTTACTTTAAATGTAAAAGTTTTTCTAACCATTATGAAAAAGCAACCATCTGTAATCCAAGTATACATGAGCAAGCATGAAAATTATACATTACAAAGATGTGCAGTGCAATACTAGAGAATGACCTTTTAAAAGATTGTGACTGTTTCTGCAGGATATGCTAATTGTCCTCCAGAAGACTTTTTGTATTCTCTTTATAGTAATCATGGCTGCTTACAAACATGAACACATCCTAAGAAAATTAATCTCCTTAGTACCATAACATGACCACATAACTGAGACATAAAAACTTTAAATCAGATTAGGGCTATGGATGCTTACAAATATGAATAGCTCCCAAGAAATTGATCCTCTAAGTACCATAACATGACTGGATGACTGACACATAAAAACAATGAATCAAATTAGGCCTATCTGGGTTGCCACTACACTTCAACTTTGACCTCTAAAGGAGACCAGGATCTACTTTCTCCTCCCAACAGAAATGATCATCGACTAAAGGAGCTCTTGATTATAAAACAACTTCCCCTTATCACCATTTTAGGAACTGTCTGAAGAACAGTATGGAGAAAGTGCATACTGATGTTAAGGTGTTAAGGGTTAGACACCCTATGAAGTTACAACTCTCAAAAGCTTGCTAGTGGTTTGGAATATCAAACAAAAATGTTTCCATGGAATGTTTTGATTCTCTTTATTTCATGAAGCTAAATTACAACCTCACACTTCCAAAATTTAACACCACAGTTGTAACTTGTCCTATTTACCAGTGTCTTATACAGATACATTTTTGTATCTGTTTCTAAATATTTCTATTGGTGACATGCAAGTTATACTCAAAAGAGCAACCTACATGGATTCCTTATACATCTATATTTAAAACTATTACCATTTGATGCTCTTTTTCCTCCCTTTTTATTGGCCAAGAGCAAACCACATGACTTATTTCTGGTTGCCTATATAGAGGGGTGTGTCCCTGCGAAGCACTTTAACTGTCTCCTGCCAAAACATTTTTAAAAAAATTACACTTTTCTTGGAAACGTATGTGATAGTGATTTCATAATGAAAGTATATTGAATTGTTGGTGCTGAATAATAATAAAGCAAGGAAATCATGGTTCCCAAGTTATAGTATCCAATTTAGAACAATCGATTTCAGCCTTTAGTACTTGTCTACTGTCCATACCAATTACCATTGATAACATTCTTTCAATCGACAAGGCATTGGGATTCAGGATCAAAATTCCTTGTAATTATAAACTGAAGCAGACATTTGATTCCTCAGAAATACATTAACATTATTATCACCAAAAACAAATTAAGAGTTATCTTCATATAACTTAGATAATGCTTACAACTTATGTACACCACATCCTGTTTATATTTTCCACTAAATATCTCTCAAAGACTTGGACAATGAAACTCATTGTAGCGGCTTTAACATTTGACTTTACTCATAATAGGCCTGATTCAGCACAAAAATTGTGCAAACACCACAACCAGTTTTCCAAAATGAGAATTTTCTTTGGTAAAATTGCAGGATAACTTTAAAACCCTTCTCACACGAACACTGTGGAGAAAGTCCAGGAACATCTTGTGTACAGTGAATAAGTTTCTTTGTACATAACAAGGTACATGAGCCAGCTAGGAATGTTTGGCCCTCATTTCAACAAACATTTTCTTCTTGTAGCATTCTTCATGAAACTGTTTATTGCCATCATCAATCCACTTCCCTGAAAAGCCATTTTCAGGATCAACACGGATGACATCAAAGCAAGCACTACAACGTGGTCCTGCATATTGAATGTAGCATTCCTCATGATACTTGCAGCCATTATAAACACCCCAGCTTCCAGACAGGCCTTTTTCAGGGAATGCAATCAGGGCAAAACAACAATGTTCACATTTTGGCCCCTTGCTTTTCAAATAGCACTCAGAATGATAAGCCTGAAAACAGATCACACAAAAAACAAAATTATTAAACGTAAGGTACCACAACTAAGATGGAACAGTTTGAGGAAGTAGAAAAAGTAGGGGGAGGGGGACACATGGACAAGGGGAGAAACTAATTCCTATGCCCTATTCTTCTGACTTTGGCATCTCTGACCCTGACTATTTAAAACACTCCAGATTAATGATTAACAAATGTTTACATTTCTTCATTTCAATTCCATTCCCATCTCCAACCCCTTCCATTCTCATCACCCATACACATCCTGCATCCTATTCTCCTGCAATCCTACCCTGCTGTCACACTCCACAAAAAAAAAAGAAACACCAAAAAAAATAAATAAGACTTTCAAAGACTGCATCCCCTGTCTTCCACTAAATTCATCTGAAAGTGATTTATATAATTTCCTAGTCCTGACAGAATTTAAGAAATGTTTTTTACTTCTCAATTTTGCTTTGTTTTGTAATGTTCTGTTCTTCTCTCATCACATCGGTTGGTAATGTTTTCCCCTTCATCCAAATTTTTCCACATACTACTTTTCATTAACAGAATACCATCCAACAAAATGGTAGCCCTGTTTTAAACCAAGGGTAATACAACACCATCATCACAAAACTCACATCAATTTTCACCACAAAAATCAAAAGGTCTGGAGCAAATCAGCTTCATGCTTGTGAAAAACAAGTCACCAATGTCTTTTACAGAATTAGTGTAAAATCTGAGTCTACTCAGTTCTATTTTGTGCATGAGATTCATTGTGGTAAGAACAAGAAAGTAGCAAACTGTAGGATGATATTTGTTCCAGATGTTGGACAAAAAAAAATCATCTTATGACATCAGCCATGCATATTAAGCGATGACCAAACACAGGGCAGCTAACATATAAACTTGGCATGGTTTTTCTGCCCTCAAGTCTTGGAAGGTTTTTAAGCTCAAAATTGACTTTCATCTTAAAATAGCCTTCATATACGCTGCACAAGAGTTAAGTTTTCAAACAAATGTTCCCTCAAGGATTGGGAAATGCTGAACCTTAACAAAACATAACTAAATCAAAATCTTAGATGGTCATGTGGAATCACTGAGCAAATATCATAAATGTTCATTAGGGCTTAGAGGCTAAATTTTTTGCCTCTAATAAAAACCAAATACAAATAACTCGATCGATCACTCAAATTGTAACAGTTTTGAGAGAGATGTGCTCAAATATTTTTCCAGTCCAATGCATACTCTTTGGCTCTTAAGCTAAGTTGGCTGATAATGCTCTCGTTTCAATAGCCCTCGATCTAGAATCAAAGATCGAACATCAAAATGGAATTAACAACATAATGTTTACTGCTTGAGTGTGTCTATTGTTATTGTTTAATACAGCATAAGTTACCTTTAAACCTTGCCAAATCATCTCTCCACTAAATCCTTCGCTTTTGTCAGGGCGAATTGGATCAAAACAAGCACAACATCTCTCATCTGCATGATCGGGAAACACGGCTTTCAATTCACCTAAAAGAGTGTCTTTCTCTTGAGTGATATACGGAGGTGGAAGTGGCATGGGTGAAGCCATAGCTCCTTCTACAGCTTCGGAATAAGGTGGCGGAGCGTCGGCGTATGATGAAGAGGAAGTTGGAACTTTCTCGTCTTTTGCGGCAGCCATTGAAGAGTTATGTCCCCGAAGTTTTTGTCTTGCGAGCGCTAGATCTCCATTACACTCGCGAAGAACTTTCTCAGCAAGCTCTTTAGGAGCACCTGTCTCGTTTATTAGCGTCGTTAGTGTATTTTCAGAGTCGCTGCCGCCAGGCTTAAAAAGTTTTTTCCACATTTTGCGTCCTATGTAAGCGGTGGCTGCACAAAAAGCAGCTGCTTGCAAAACTGAAGAGGTCTGGGTACTAAATACAGCTCCAGTGTCTCTCGTCACTAAGTAAGTGTCTCGTAAGTAATGGGCTCCCGCTCTGGTGTAATTTTTTGCTGACCTAACAAACAGATCTACTTTTATTTCGACTCTTCAGTTTTTCCTCACTCTAAGATGGAACCCCGAAATGCAAAAATTTCAACGTTTACTTTAAAACTGACGATCGATGTAGCTGTATAAACAGCTCGGGAGGAACTGGAATATGATCCAAGCCTGCCCAAAGGCACAAGACACAAACACTTTGTCAGATCACGGACTTCCTGAACCTACGTACTTCCAGTGCCATGGATCAATTTACAAACAGACAGGAGGCGCAGCTATGGGGATTCCGGTTTCTGCTGTTATCTCTGACCTTGACGTGGAGAGTTTTGAAGAACAAGCAGTAACATCATCACCCTAAAAATCCAGGATCTGCAAATGCTATGTAGATGACACCTTCACCATCTTGGCACGTGAGAGCGGAAAAGCTTCCTACAGTATTTAAACCACCAACAGCCTTCCATTCGCTTCACCACGGATGCAGAAAGCAACTGTCTACAACAAAAAGGCATACGCGCTGTTTTCAAGTCAGAGATTACCACGCTAGTACGATTAAAGGATGCCTTAAACCCGGCTAAACAGGATGGCGTAGTCTACAGCATTCGATGTGTGTGCGGGAGCGTCTACATCGGCGGAACTGGGAGATCTATGCAGAAGAGAATCAAGGAGCGCGAAAGGGATATCCGACTCGCTAAGACGCAGACCTACGCTTTTTCAGAGCACGCCCACAGCACCGGAAACCGCCTGCTCTAGAACGAAGTAAAGTTTATTTATCGTGTTTACACGCAGGGTGAAAGAGGAAATTCACATGAGACCTCACCGTAACTACATCAAGAGGTACAGTGGGAAAGAAATCTCCAAAGCCTGGGTGCCGACGATCAAAAAACACAACAAGAGGAGAGCCGTGCAGCAGCAGAGCACAGAGGGAACCTCATCCGAGAATACACCATGCAATCACAGCCGTGGAATTCCCTCCATAATAGCTGAGCACAACAGCATATAGGTTACACGTACTCAATCGACCTCATTACTTGAAGAAAGTGGCAGTATGCAGTTCGATGTGTGGTTCTTCACGCTCCTCGAGATAAAGAGGCCAGGGTCTATCCCCGTCGGAATCTAATTATTCCAAGGAGAACGAAAAGCAAATTGCGTGTGCCAAAAGGCCTAGAAACGATGACGATAACGTAAGCCTTGCCACATCCGACAATGACATGTCTGACATCGCAAACCTCCCAGACAAGACGAGATCAAACACGCCAATGGTGGAAAAAGCCACCGGAGTAGATTTAATGCTCAACTCCCAAGTCGAATGTCCTTCAGGCAGAAACTCCAGGGTATTTGCTGTTGATGCATTCACTTTTAACTTGTCGCGTTCATTACAGCTTTTTTGCGTTTCCATCTTTCAGTGTGATCGCAGCATTTCTGTAAAAAAGTTCAGGAGATACAGTGACTGGGATAGGTGTACTCCCAGGCTGGCCAACTTAGGCATGGCACTCGTAAAGACCAATTAACACCTTCCGAAAATACCATGAAGATGTATCTCACTGCACACCTAGCCCCGATAAAACTGGGGCCACTCAAAAACCTGCGAAAACTCGCGAAGCGAGAGCCTGTTCTTTAGGCAAGCTGAACCTACCGGGATATCCAAAGGAAATACACCCACTCCGCAACTCGCTTCCAGTTCTAGTCTACCAGTTTTAAAGCAACATCCACAAACATAAAGCCTGCTTCCTGACGCAATCGAGAAACAGCGCCATGACGGAAATCCTCGGGAGAGTGATACAACCATTTGTCAAAGTGATCAATATATCTTAAACGAAAAATGGACGAGACATCAATGGATAAAACTACAATTGTCTCGAAAAGATCAACCGAAAAATTTAGAAATTTTTTTTTCTTGTTTGTTGCACCCGCATTAAAAATGTCAAAGCTTTCAAATCCCGACCTGATAAGCTTATACGACAAATGATCGACAACTTTAACACCGCCTTGTTTATTTAGTCGATATTTAACAATTGGTTCATTCGTCAGCGTGCGTTCATCGAGATATGAAGCACGCGGGAAGTTTGGAAAGCACGAAAGATGCGTAAGGGTTGCTCGAGGCGTAGCCGAGAGCAACTCTAGCTTCTCGAGTGCTTTCCAAACCTCCCAAGTGCTTCATATATTGATGAACGCACAGCTGACGTATGAACCAATTGTTTTATAACATTTTCAACACGATGGAAAATTTTTTTCCTCGAGGGATTTGTTTGCTGACGTTATGAGCGCGCACAATTGGAATATGAAGCACGCTCGCGCAATAGAATTTGGGTAGACAAATTTACCAACTATGTTATAAATCCGGTTGTTGCCAAAGAAAAGATTTTGTCGGCAGTGCGTTCGAAGATTTGTTCGCTTGTTAAGTGTTGATAATGACAGAAATTTGTCCAGTTATACAACTTTTTCCCGTGGGCGGAGATGCGAAGCGCCAATATTAATGAGGACCTGCTCCCAGGCTAGCAAAACTAGGCTTTGATCGATAAACGTCAGCATAGTTCGGCAAGTTTATTTTCGATTGATGCAACAAGGTTTGCACTCTTGTGGTTAGTTTCCGTGGATGTTACACTCCGTCAAAATCGATGAGCTCAGTATCGTCTCAATGGCATTAGCGAGCCAGGAAACCACGGAATGCGTGGGCTATAGAAAAGACACCAAAATAGATCTAACTACTCAAATAAATGTAGACAGTTATCGTCGCAAGTTTCAAAAGAAGTCAAAATAAGCCAAAGTTTGATCTATTTTCATCAGTTAATTACTCTTTATTAATCTATATGACTATAAAACCGAGGTGATGGTTACAGCATTTTATGGACTTGCAAACCGGAAATGAGAACATCATCAATCCGTTAGGTCTTCATTTAGTCTACGTGACTTCAGTGTAAAAATAAATTTGTAATTATCAGCCTTTTAATGAAAACCAAGAGTTTTTAATCTCCTGTGAAAACACAATTACTTATTTTTTAAAACTCTTCAGGAGAACTGTACAACGAAAGTACGCAACTTTCATATCTTCCATATAACCAGAGACAAGAGATTATGAACTGTTTGTAATCTCTGGCCAGAAATCGAACATAGCTTCTGCCACAATAATACCACACAAAACAAGATTGTCTACTTTTTCAGGAATATTAAAATATCACCCTACCAAAATTTATTATCAGTGTGTTATTTTGTGCATATTGCCTACGGCTATTTCGATTTACAAGCACGTCAGATTTAATACTGATCAAGAGAAATATTAATGGTTCATATATTCTTGATACCGATGCAGTGTAACCTTGTCCCTGATTCAATGTGACCGCTCAGTTAATTAGTTCATATATAACCCAGATGACGATCTATGTGACCTAGCCCCTTTAAAAGTGATTCATAGACACAATGCCATGAAACTAATTCTATGTCAGAGAAATACCAGTATTCTAACTCCTCAGGATATTTGTATGTTATGAAGTATTTAGTTGGTTAAGTATGATTTAGTCATTTGTTTACATTTACCATTTATTACTACTTATTTAGTTTACGACATTGTGACGAGTTTCCGAATTATGACTGCCTTGTCTAACTTCAAATAGCGCGTGAACGCGCATAGCTTGTCAAAGAACCTTGCTTTGGACCCACACGAGTTTTCTTGTTTTGGCTTTCGCAGTCAAAATTTATTTGGTTGATCGGACGCATGACATACATTGTTGTTGATTTGCGAGATTTTTGCACCGAAAAGTGTTTTAGTTAGTGCTCTGACAAGTAATGTTTAATCTTCTTAGGTCAGTTAGTCAGTATGCCCACTTAGTCAATATATATGCTTGTTTACTTAGTAGCAGTGCAAGTCAGTTACAAGTAGTCAGTAAGAAGTTGAGGAGTATCAAGAGTGAGAGAAAGTGATCGAAAAAAGTTAGAGTTAGGCAACCAGAGGAAGGCAGGGTGAAGTAAATTTGAAGTTATTAGGATGTCTCAGAGAGCCGATAGATAAAAGAAAAATGAAAAAGAATGGTCGAGACTCCATTGTGCCTTTCGTAAAAACGTATTGTGATCTGCAGCTGGTTTCCTCATCATTGCGACCCAGCAGTGTAAAGAACCCACAAATATTTCAGTTCAAGAGAGTGATACAAAATATCCATGTTATCATCATAACATCGAGTCAAAACTGTCTCATGCATGTACATCACTAACAACGAATAACTGATACAAACTTAAATGTTTTCCGAGAGCTTTAAAGGTTATTCAGGTCAACCACTTATAAAGAGACTGGAGAGAGGATAAATTTTCTCGATGCACTCTTCAATTTATGGTCCCTCGGATTAACTGGATTAGGTAACCTTGAAAATTGCTTATTTTCTTTTAGCAGAAAAATAAAATCAATTATCTATATTGATTCTACGTATTAAAAAATTGCGTCAATTTTCACGCGTCAAAAAACTTTCATTGACTAAAGACCACCGAACTGAGTGACTCGCTGGTCGTAAAGGAAGCTCCTATTTTCTATTTCAAGGTCTCTTTGAATGCAAATGATAAGTCAATTTTATCTCCCTCCGTTACTACTGTAAACTGGGTAGAGGTCATTAAATATATTGCTCACTTCCGGAAAGTTATTTAAGCACAATTTTGTTTTGTTATCAGATCATGATATTAATTTCATCCCGCTAACTTAGTTGCGTCAATAAAGTACTGATGACCGATACTTATCTCGAATAAAATTCCTTGCGGCTAGATCTTCAGAGGGGGTTAATTTTTAAAGACCTGCCCACAACTTCGTCAAAATACTGAAACTAGAGAGCGAGTTTTTTTCGCTCGTCACAAGGATAAAGAAAAAAATCTGCAGCAACTGTGAAGGGAAAAGCTAAAAAAGGGCTAGAAAACGCCTGATTCTCTTGTTCATCAATAGATTTTTCAACGAACACCATAATTGTGCACCATGTCTGTTGAACAATGGTTGACTAATCTTTGACGGATAAAGCCCGCCAC